ATAAATCATATGAAAAGAAAAATTGGTCTTTTTGATTAAACAAGGACAAAGAAAAAAAATACCACATAAAACGTGAAGTTTCCTTGTTGGAAACCAACAAAAATCTTTCCTCCTACCTTTTTTGTATTCTTTTATGTCTTAATATATTGTATCTTTATTAGGAGAAGATATTAAACACTAAATTATATTAGATTTTTTTATTTATTTAGAATTCCTAAATATAAGAAATTTTTTTGATTTTATAATTTTATCCAATGTAAATTTTGTTTTTAAAGGGTAAAAAAGGCAAACGACATTTTGCTAAGGACCTTCGTGCTTTTAATATAATATAGATATATATATATATATTAACATAATGCCTACGTTAATGTTTTCCTCCACCAATCAATTAGACTTGCTAAACTTCAAATTTTCTGGAATTAATCTCTCCATTCTTTGTAATCTGGAACGTAAATTAAGCCACTTTGCAACAAAAACAAATTTTTATAGAAAGAACATGTGGGAAATGTTTCAGGTGTCTAATATTTGTTTCCAAGTATATAAAAATTAAACGTTATTTTTGTAGAAAGAACTTGTAGGAAATGTTTCAGGCACCTAACATTCAATATTAGATCAAATGAAACTGCTAACATGAAATTGAAAATTAGTTGGCTAAATGAACAAACTATACTAAAATATTATCCCCAAGTACATTAAGAGGATGGTGGTTTAATTTCAGGTGAAGTTGTTTGCTTTAAAAACCTTTCCTATATACGAACTAATACTACATATTTTGATCCCCACATTGAGCTACTAATACCAAATGCCTTATATCTCTTAAAACACAGAACAGAAACAATAAACAAAAAGGGCCTGATAATGTAAGTGTTGTTTATATTACTACAACAACAACAACAGACCCAGTGTAATCCCATAAATGGGGTCTACTGTTTATGCAAATCTTACCCCTACCTTATAAAGATAGATAGGCTGTTTCCGATAGACCCTCGGCTCAAGGAACAACAGAGTTGTTTATATTACTAATCCCACTTAATATGAACATTCAATAGCCAATAATAACAAACAAAATGCAAGTTAGCTAAAGCAATGTGTCTATAAATTCTCTCTGATCTATTTGGAATTGATGTGTGTAGCAACTCGAACAAAGAAATAGACCTCTTTCAAAAGTTGCAAAAAGAAGTAAGTAATTAAAATGGCTAAATTTGGCCATTTGGGTAATTTTTAGTGTTGTGTATTCTAGTAGGTTCTAGCCATGCTCAGTTACAGCTCAACTTTTATGCCAAGAGCTGTCCAAAAGTTGAGAAGATAATTCAAGATTATGTGCAAAAGCACATACCAAATGCTCCATCTCTTGCAGCTGCCTTGCTCAGACTGCATTTCCACGATTGCTTTGTCAGGGTAGGTATTTTACATGCAACAATATTTTCACTAAACAGTAACATCTTGAAGTAATGCAGTTTAATTTTCTCTTTTTTCTTCTGAGTATTTGTAGGGTTATGATGGTTCAGTACTTCTGAATTTCACGTCGAGCACAAGATCACCAAACAGACAAAGTGGTTGGCCCTAATCAAACATTGAGAGGCTTCTCATTCATTGATGGTGTGAAGAAAATAGTTGAAGCTGAATGTCCTGGAGTAGTCTCTTGTGCATATATTGTTGCCTTGGTTGCTAGAGACTCTGTTGTGGTCACAGTAAGTACAAAACTTGAACCAACTTACAACTTGTATTTACTTGTCTCATTGTCTCCCTTTTACTTCTTTGTATGATAGGGAGGCCCTTACTGGAATGTACCAACTGGTAGAAGAGATGGCAGAATATCAAACGCGTCCGAGGCCTTGGCAAACATCCTTCCTCCAACTAGTAACTTCTCCAGTCTTCAGATGTCTTTCGCTAGCGAGGGTCTTGACCTAAAAGACTTGGTCCTATTGTCTGGTAAGTTTAAATTAGTACAAATTTCTACTTAGTTCTTCTATATTGAGATTTTCCATAAATTTAGTTTCTCTACAAATAAAAAAAAAACATTATTACTATGAATAATATGTTATTAGGTGCACATACCATTGGAATCTCTCATTGCTCACACGTTTATACAATTTTACTGGAGTTTTGGGCACAGAAGATCCATCTCTAGACAGTGAATATGCAGCTAATCTTAAGGCGAGGAAATGCAAATCAACCAATGACAATACCACAATTGTTGAAATGGATCCTGGCAGTTTCAGGACACTTGATCTTAGCTACTTTAAGCTTCTGCTCAAGAGAAGAGGGCTATTCCAATCTGATGCAGCCCTTGACTACAAGTGCGACAACAAAGTCATACATCAACCAGCTAGTACAAGGATCACTCAAACAATTCTATGCTGAATTTGCTCAGGCAATGGAGAAAATGGGCAGGATTGAAGTCAAGACTGGCTCTGCTGGTGAAATTAGGAAGCAGTGTGCAGTTGTGAATAGTTGAGTGCAACGATTGTGTGTTTGGGTGTGTGTGTACCTTGGTGTGAATGATTTCCTAACATGTATCATGTTCTTTTTTGTACTTATTCCAATTGTTTTGTATCTTGATGGTTTTGTTGAAACAAAACTAAGATCCAATCTGGTGCTTCTGAATTTGCTTTAGAGCATTTTGCTAGAAATGAACCTTTGTCTTTATATTCTTTCATAATGCAGCTGAGATTGAGAACTATTAAATATTCATCAATATTGATTGGATGCCTTTGTCCTGAGTAACTAAAGAATTCCATCAAAACCTTAGCAGACGGCAAAGTTGTTTAGTGAACATCAAGTTCGAACATCTCATCTTCCATTTGCTGCAAGTCTTTCTTTCATCCGGAGCTTCAAGAAAAGTTCAGTATCAATTATTTATAGTACTAGTTTCTGGGCACGCGCTTTGCACGTATACCCCTATCAATGAGTATATAAATGTTACTCCATTAAACACTATGTTTACGTTATACAATAAAAATTAAATAGAAAAATGTAAGTTTTTGAAATTGATTAATGTGATCCTATTTAGCTAACTAAATAAAGGAAGAAATTCGCAATTAACCAAGAACCATAATAAGTTCATGACAATTTTAGAGCAAACTTTAAAATCCAATATAACTTTTTAATTATATTTTCTACGTTGATAGGAGTAATCTTTTAGATGAAGGGTAAAATGAACATTGCACTTTTTTTGGTAATTGGGTAATTCAACTTAGATATTTGGAGCTTTGATAGTAGAAGGTCTGAATTTCTTTGACATGAATGATGCACTTCCTTCTGGGGCGGATTTATAGGTAAAAATATAGGGCACGTGAACTCATGGTCTTTTCGTAAACTTAAATATTTTATGTACATATTTTCTGAAATTGATATCATATTAGGCGCCCATGTTCCAAGAAGATTAAATGTGGACTTAGTTGAAAGTTGAGTTAATTACGAAGGGGAATAGAGGGATCAATTCCCAATTAATACATTTTCTCTTACTCTTTTTTAGTAGTGCACCTATGTACTACAAATCCTAGATTACTAAAATGTACGTAAATACAATTATTTTTAAGTTTTTCTTAAATTTGACATGACAATGTAAAAGAAACTAAGACTACCTATATATGTAGATTGACATTCATTTTTCAAATAAAATTACCATACCAGCAGCAAAGTTCCAAGTCGTATGATATTTTTAGTACTATTGAACTTTGTTCCTACAATCAATCTCGTACATGTGCTATTGCTTTCTTTTCATGACCGGTTAGTAGAGTTCAATGTAAGGATAGATAAAGAATCCAACTTGCATACATATATTGAGCCAGCACTGGTTATTAATTAGCAATAGGCTTTGGATGCATGTGCTTGTACCACAAAAATAATATTTTGCGTGTACAATGCTAATATCATAGACATTTCCAATGAATTTTAATGCCTACTAATACATTTTGTTAAAAATTATTAAAATCTGAAATTCTGAATTATATGTATACTACTTCCAATGGTAACAAATAAATTAAAAGATAAACATTATGAACACACAAATTTCTCTGTATAGAACTCCTTAGATATCAAGCAGAGAGACACAATAATGCTCATAAACAGGGAGCTCACTGGCTATTCAGCATATCGGCACACCCCTATGAATCCACGTGATGGAAGAGGAGGGGGAGAAGGGTTGCGGTGAAGGATAAGATACTGAAAAATAGGGTAGTAAACAAGGTTTCTGATGATTAATTATTTTACTTGATGACTTCATTCATCCCCTGCTGCCGCCTACTCCCTAGCTATCCTTAGTTCTCAATCTATTGACCATGAATAAAGCAACTATATATTTGAACTCCTTGACATTCTCATGAGCTGCAGGTGCATTGATGATCCTAAGACGTTAATTTTCTCTACTAATAATTGTCTGTCTCTTCATTTGCTCTAATGCTTAGGTTATCCGAACATATTTGTGTCTAACTGTTCAAGTCTACTTATTAATGCTTAGGTTATTGAACTTATTTATGTGTAACTGTTCAATAGTATGAAAACGGATAGAGGTGAAAGAGACTCGACTACAACATTATGGTGATTGTTAGGAATATTTATTGTGGACTGTTTTTTCTTACGTTTTTGTACATAAGAGTTAAGTAATAATTTATTTATTTTTAAGGGTATTATAGTACTTTAGCTTTATAGGGTTATTCTCGTCTTTCAACTTTGGTCTTCCCACTAATAATATAGCATGATGATGATGAGAAATAGATGAGAGGTTGAAGAGTCTAACAATTGAACGGAATAAGCTTATCTGCACCAAATTTGCGAAAGAATTGAAGGGGCCTAAAGTTGGAAACTACCATGTATATGTAACAGTAACAGACCAAGGGCAAATAGAGATGCACATTTCCATGACCTGCCTTGAGATATGCATTCAAATGCAATTTTTATCATGCTGGTGAAGTTTAAAATGGAAGACCACATTTGGAAACAATTAGAACAATTTACAATTGATGAAACTAATCACTGTGATTCAGAAGCAACAGAAACTCACTCAGGATAGATCAAACGCTGCACAGCCTAAGGGCAAATGTCAGAACACTAGGTACAAAATTTTTGCTAGAAGCTATACAAAGCATATGAGAATTTGTTTGCCAAACTGAAGAAACAGAAAACATTTAAAAGTGACGATAAAACAGGAAATCCAAGTCTGACTTTGTTAGCTTTCCCAAGGCATCTGAAGAACCACCGACAGTCCTGCAATCAAAAACTTGGAAGTTCAGCATGTCAGAGGGAAAACAAACAGTTAGAGGAAAATGATTTTCGAAAGAAAGAGCGGAGGAGGGAGGGAGTGGGAGCAAATAAGTGAACTCAAAAGCAAAACGCAACAGAAAGGCTGTCAATAACATTCATCAAATGCTTTATCTTTGAGAATTATTTGAATGAGAAGACATGAACAGGCTTTAAATGAGCTCTCACTATCAGTTGTAACATCTAAAAGAAAATTACTTGATTTCCATAACTTCTGAAGGCCTCTCCCACTGAAGGAAATGTATGAAAATAATTTCAACTCATCACCATATCCTTTAGTCAAATACATGCAACCATATAAACGACGGTAAGAAAAAGACAGTACTACTTGCCCTTCAAAAAATAGTTTCCTCTTCTCTTGTAACTCTAAGATCCTTTCTTCAATTGTATCCTCAATTACGAATCTCACAATCCTGCAAAATTAGAAAACAATAATAAGCTCTCCAGTCAACGGCATCCAAAGTACAAGAAATGCAAAACACGCTTGACTGGTTTATGTTGCCCTATTCGATGGATTCTATCTTGTGCTTGCAGCTCCACCGCAGGATTCCACCAAGGATCCATCAAGAAAACCTAGCATATGAAATTGGATATACCAAATGAACCAAATAACAGGAAATCTGAAGAGTGCAACACCATATATGCACAAGCCTTTTCGAATTTAGAATGGTTACCAGAGTCGGCGTATACAGAGAAAGAAAATAGAGCCCTTACATGTGATGCAACTGTAAGATTGAGGGCAACACCTCCAGCTTTCAAGCTCATAAGAAGTATCCTGCATTCTGGATCTTCAGTAAATGTGGTAACTGCAGCATCTCTTTCAGCCATAGACATGGATCCAACTAATTGAACACAACTGATGCCCGACTGCCCGAATATACACAAGACAAGTTTCTTTTTGTTACAGATAGAAAAAAAGGAGCTAGGGGGAAATATGAATGGAGAAAAGTATCTTCATATGTTACCTTATGAAGAGAATAGTGTATCAGATCCAAAACGACGTGAACTGGCTAAAAACTATTCCTTTTGCAGAACCGTCTCTTTCAACCAACCTAATTTCTTCCCTCTACATTCAATAAAAGTAGAAATGAACATCAAACTTGTATTGCGCATACCCCCTCACTTTGCAAAGAAGAAAAGCAAACTGAGGAGCAATATGATGATAGAGTATAAGGTAATTGCATACCAAAGCTTCTATTTTAGTGCTTGTCTGGAATTCATCGAGCTGAATTTTGTTCAATATACTTGAGGACCTAAACCCTTTGACAGTAGGCTTAGAACTAGAATCCCCCTTATCATTATTTGCATTGGAGTCAAATGTAAGGGGTTTATCACATGAAGGGCATGCCAGTTTTCCCCTACTTTCAGCAAAGTTTATCAAACACGTCTTGCAAAACACGTGTGTGCAAGAAGTAACCTGCAACAATCAAAGTACTTTTGATAAATATCTCAGTGTCTAAAGGGTGTACATGCAACATTCAGGCTGACAATGAGCAATTGAAAGGTGCTCCAAGTTCTTGGACCTTGAACGGACAACATGAAAAATAAGTACTAAATGCAAAAAGGAGAAATCTGTCAAATTAAATTTCAGCTAAGTAACGTCAGGGTCACAAACTCACTATTGGATCTTCCACCGTATCTTTACATAAGCTACACGATTGTTCAACATGGACCCAGCGTTCGGGAAGCTCAGGCTCGTCAGCCTTCACATTTGCGTGTGGTTCCTCGCCTTCGCGGTTTGCCATCTCCTGGGCCTTGGGCAGATTGCCTTCGCGATCGCCTAACACTTGGTTAATGTCGGGACTCTTTGGTTCATTTCTTTCACATCTTGGTCGATTTTTGAGCTCTTCGTAGAGGGGTTTTCGCCTAACACTTTAAGGTAAGTAATTCCTACCCAATGTATGTTTAATACACATATTGTGGGTAGATTTTAACATGTAAAATTGTTGAAATTTTGGATTTAGTTAAAAAATCTAGGTCTTGATAAAAATTAGATTTAACCACGAAAATGATTATAGAATTGAGTGAAAATTTTATATTTGAGCGCATGAGGTTATGGGTAACATTCATCTTCAAAAGTTTTCGAAATCTGGGCAAGTGGCCCCAGGGGTAAATTTTAGGAATCTTCCATCTTGGGTTGGGTAATCACTCTAATAGTTAGATTATGAACTTTGAACATGTATTGATTAATTTATATTATATTTGGCTAGTTTCGGGTTGTTTGACACCAAGTTGAGGATTTAAAGGGGATTTCTGGACCGGAAATGAGCTTGAGAACGAGGTAAGTCTCTTGCCTAACCTTGTAAGAGGGAACTCATCCTCTTAGGTGTATCTTATTGTGTATTACTTGTGTGGGGAGCTACATACGCGCTAGGTGACGAGAGTCCATGCGTAGCTAAATCCCATTATATGTCCGGATAGTCTTAGACCCACATCATGCTTTAATTGTACTATTGTGTTTATTATGTATATTAAGTATCTTGAATAGACCTGAGACTAGGAATTTCAAAGTTGAAATTTTTGAATTTAGATTTCTTATTTTTGGAAGATTTGAGGAATATATAATAACTTTATTAAATTCATGTCCCCTCGCGTCGCAAGTACTTTCACGAGCGAGGTAAAATTCTCTACTCTCATGGGAGTAGGCCGTTCGCCTTGGCAGTATAATAGATGCATCTATGGTTCGTGTCGTCCCTCGGAAGTGCACACAGTATTTGGATCGGTCCATACGACCTCGGCATAAATCGTGCGTGATAATATTCGGAGCTCGATTACACTTGATATTATTTTATGGCTTGAGAGGTTATAATTTATTTAATGAAATAAATTAATTTGGAGTTAGTAGGTGGTTGTTGGACATTTTTGAATTCTTCTATCAGTTAAAGAATCATTTATTCACTGCTTGATAATGTGTTATTATTCACATATTCTATGCTTATTTAGAATTTCTGTATTTTATTTGTTAGCCCATAGCCGAGGATCTATTGGAAACAGCCTCTCTACCTCGCTAGGCAGAGGTAAGGTCTGCATATACACTGCCATTCCCAGACCCCATTTGTGGTATTATACTGGATATGTTGTTGTTATTTGTTCGCTCATAGTAGATGTGTAGACCCTTCATCAATATTTCTTCTAGGTTAGACTAGATACTTACTAGGTATATGTTGTTTATGTACTCACGCTACACTTCTGCACTAATCGTGCAGGATTTGACGCAGGTGCATCTAGCAGTCATTCCGGCACGTACCCCCATTACCCCGAGACTTAGTGATGATCTGCTTTCTGAGGCCGTTCTGGAGCACCCGCAATCTCTCTTTTGTATTTACTTTCTGTCTATTCTATTTCAGACAGTAGCATAGTATTTTTTATATTCTACTAATTACTCATACACTTGTGACACAAGTCTTGAAAACATGCTAGTAGATACTTGATAGATTTTGAGTATTTATTTCACCGCACTTGTTTTTTAATTTTTTACACTTTACTTTATTAAATTTTTCACTTCTTATTTACTTAATAGATAAAAATCAACTACTTTGAAATTATTGAAAAGAATAAATACATGGCTAGTTCACCGTTGGCTTGCCTAACGGCGATATTGGGCGCTTTCACGACCTATAGAAGAAAATGGGTCATGACAGATATCATCAACGAACTTAAACCAACATCAAAGAGATTGGATATGGCAAGCCAGCCACAACAAATGCCCAGGCCACAAACCGTTAACTATTTAGAGTTATAAGTCAATAGCATATTAACTGGTCAAACCTATTTTGTGATAGTTGTAACTTGTACCGACCTATGAGGTGTTTGGTCAAGTTTCTGGAAAGAAAAAAAAAGTGCTTTTGAGAATAAGCAGAAGCAGTTTTGGAGAAGCAGAAAAAAGTAGTTTCTCTTCAAAAGCACTTTTTGAGAAGCACTTTTGAGAAAAATACACTTAGAAGCAATTTTTTAAAGCTTGGTCAAACACTAATTGCTGCTCAGAAGTGCTTTTTAAACTAATTAGCCAAACACAAACCGCTTCTCACCAAAAGTACTTTTGAGAAAAATACTTTTGAAAAAAAGCACTTATCAAAATAAGCTGATTTTTGCAACTTGGCCAAACAGGCTATTAATATGAATATGCAAGTTTAAAAAACAATCACCCAAGCCCATTTAGTCCAAACTATTTTCCTTTTTATACCCAAGCCCAAAGGATTTACTTTTTTTTTTTTTGCCTATGAGGCCCAAACTATTTTTCCGACTTACCCAATCCCCATTACCTTTTCAATCTCTCTAAACAAGCATAGTCCCACACCCAAACATTCCATTCCCCTTTCAAAATATACTCATAGCTTAGTCTTTTTAGTGGATGATGAAAATCCAGTACAAACCCGTGCATTCCTAATTTTTATAGAATTTTCTATATAATTTTAAAAGATAAGTTTTCATATTATTTTACATGAGTTACACTCCAAAATTCTCTTTCCATATTAGTATATTTCAAATTTCTCTTTCATAATTAATACTATTATTTTTTCCAAACTTTTCTCTTTTGTGTATTTATTTGTATTTCTGAACGCATGTGTTGTCGTGGTTATATATTAGGCTTCCCAAATCAAAAGTTTTGTGAGTATCTGAAAACCCACCATTGTAGAGGTTGAAGCTCCTAAATTTAAAATTTTATTTTGAATACTTGATGTTTAATTCGAAGTGGGCGTTGTAAAATAATGCTTATAGTACCTTCAGGAAGTTCATAGTGAAAGTTGGTTGCATTTGGAGCTGGTTTAAGATACTTGAGAACGAAATTTTCCGCTGAAATTTGAAGAATACAGTCCAATAGTATACTGTTATGATATATAATATACTATAAAAGTATATAACTATACTGCAATAGTGTACTGTAATAGTATATAATATATTATAATGGTATACTATAATAATATGCAATATACTATAACAATATACTGTAATATTATACAATATACTATAACATTATACTTCGCCTGCTATTTGTTAAATAATCTAAATGCTATTGTGGAAACCTAAAATCATGGTTATAGTCCGAATTTGGTTGTTAATTGAAAAAATTAATTGTCCACCAATGAAGAAGCATTGAAGCTTTGGTTTGAGAATGTAACGACCCCGCTGGTCGTTTTGAGAGTTGTAGCTCTGTTCTCCTATTTTCTACTCCTTTTGTACTTTATAGCTGTTATGTAACTTACCGGGTTAGTCGCTTCGGGTCTGGGAGTAGACTTTTTGATATCGAGGTTGGATTCCAATTTCGGAAGTTGAAGTAGGTCCGTGGTATCATTTATGACTTGTGTGCAAAATGTAAGGTCAGTCAGATGTGATTTGATAGGTTTCAGCGTCATTTGTAGATGTTGAATTCTCTTAGTTTCAATAGGCTTGAATTATGGTGCGATTCATGTTTTTGATGTTGTTTGACGCGATTTGAAGGCTCGAATAAGTTCGTATGATGTTTTAAGACTTGTTGGTATGTTTAATTGAGGTCCGGGGGGTCTCGCATTGATTCCGGGTGGTTAACAGATCAAGAGTTGAATTGGAGAAGTTGGTGGAGTTGAGGACTGCTGGTCTAAACGAACATGTGGAGCCTTGGTCGCAGGTTCGGGGTGAGGTTCGCAGATGCGGAGCTTGAAGGGAGGTGAGCAGGTGGTCGCAGGTGCGAAGGCTTTCCCACACCTACGTGACCACAGATGTGGCAGGAGGATCGCAAAAGTGGATAAGGGCATTGGAGCTAGGCTCTGCAGAAGCGGAGGGTTGCTAGATGAAGCGGGTCTGCAGAAGTGGAAGGTTAGGCTGCAGGTACGGAAGAAGCCGCAGAAGTGGGACTTGAGTCTCTCCTACAAAACTACAAAAGCGGCTAAGTTGGCCGCAAAAGCGAGATTGTCAGGCAGACTATTTAAAATGAGGGTTCCGAGATTTTTACCATTTCTAACATGTTGAGCTCGGGTTTTGGAGATTCTTGAGAGGATTTTCGAGGGGATTCTTGAGGTAAGCTCCTTGTACTCATTTTTGATCAATAATCTTGTTTCCCCATTGATTTTCCCACCTAGATTATGTGGTTTTGAGGTGAAATTTGGGGGTTTGAGGCTTGCAATTTGTAGAGTTGATTTTGGGGATTTAGGTGACAATTTAGTGTCAGATTTTGATAAATTTAGTATGGTTAGATTCGTTGTTGAATGGGCTTTCGAGTTTTGTGATTTTTTTGGATTCCGAGACGTGGGCCCGGTGGCCGACTTTGAGCTGATTTCGGATTTGGATTAATAACTTCATATTTTTCTTATGGAATTGATTCATTTAGCCAGTATTGATTTTACCAAATTGTTTGTGGCTAGATTAGAGGCGTTCAGACTCTGATTTTTTAGGTAAAGTCGTATTGGAGTAGAGACTTGCTCAG